GCCGACCCCATATACCAGAGGTGGTGGATTCAAACTTGGCCCCAGCCAAAAACTGAGGAACTCTGCTACTACTAATTCACGTGAGTTTGTAGTCTTCCAGTTTCCTGAACAACTATTTCATGTCTCTCTTCAAACTTCCAGAACATCTCTTCTATTCATATTCTCAGCTGAATAGAGAAACAGTCGAGTCAGGCATTAAGGGAATTTTTGGATGGTCCTACCACAAATCTCCTCCTAACCCACCTTGTGCCTTCCTATTATCCTAGTTAAGAGTGAACTGCCCAGGCTACCACTCAAAAGGCACTAGTGTAGCAATTATTCTTTTCTGTCTCCTGCATTGTCAGCTCCTTTCTTTCAACTGGGTCATTTATCAGTATCAAATATAGCATAGATTTTCTGTCATTTAAAAAAACTTGTCTTACTCCCACATACATCTCATCTATTTCTTTTTATTTCGCTCCTTCCTTGTTTTTTTAATTTCAGCATTTAGTTTTTTTTTTTTTTTTTTTTTGTTTTGAGACAGAGTTTCACTATGTCACCTTCAGTAGAGTGCTATGGCAACACAGCTCACAGCAACCTCAAACTCTTCGGCTTAAGCGATTCTCTTGCCTCAGCCTCCCAAGTAGCTGGGACTACAGGCGCCTACCACAATGCCCAGCTATTTTTTGGTTGTAGTTGTCATAGTTGTTTGGCAGGCCCACGTTGGATTCAAACCCATCAGTAGTTGCGCTGATTGTTGTAATCAGTGATTATTATAATCACTGTAGTTACACTGATTATTGTAACAACCAGTGTATGTGGCTGGTGCCCTAGCCACTGAGCTATAGGCACCAAGCCACCATTTAGATTTTTAGTGATAATACTCATTACTGTCCTATTGTAAGAAATTAAAATTTATCCCACTTTTATAGTACCCAACTATAATGTATACAGCCAAATAAAATTTTATTTTCTATAAAAGTCTTTAAAATTACATTGAAAAAATTATAAAGCAATTTTTTGCATTAAATATGACCAATTATATCCATGAAACAGATGAAATTTGCTCTCCACAACATAAATAATATCTCTTCCCTTGAAATAAATCAATAACCTCTATCATTTTTATTCTTTCAGTGAATGGTGTAAATATTGACCTTTTTTTAACATCAAGGATTGGCATAGTGACCTTCGTATTTTAGGCTCTGAGAAGCTCTCTGTTGCAATTACTCTAATCTGTCATTGTAGGGTGAAAGTAGTTACAGACAAAAGGTAAAAGAATAGATGTGGTTGTGTTCTAATCAAACTTTTTTTTTTTTTTGGAGACAGAGTCTCACTTTGTCACCCTTCGTTGAGTGTCGTGGCATCAAACCTCTCACAGCAACCTCAAACTCTTGGGCTCAAGAGATCCTCTTGCCTCAGCCTCCTGAGTAGCTGGGACTATAGGTGCCCAGCTAGTTTTTTAGAGATGGGGTTTCACTCTTGCTCAGGCTGTTCTCAAACTCCCGAGCTCAGGCAATCCACCTGCCTTGGCCTCCCAGAGTGCTAGGATTACAGGCATTAGCCACCACACCAGGCCCAGAACTTTTTTTTTTTTTTTAACAAAACCAGATGGGAAACCAATCTGTCTGCTGTCTGTTGTTGTTGACCCATCGTTGATACATTTGTCTGCTTTCTTTCAGCAGGATTCTACAGAACCAAATATCTTTTGAACATCTATTACATATGAGGCACTGAAGATATAACAAAGAACAAGAAGAATATGATCTATGCCCACATATAGAAAAACACACAAAATATGCAATCAAATTCCCACACTATGAAAAAAAATTACCATACTATGTGACAAAATTTTCACTATCACTAGCCAAACCCTAAACTTAATATTCTTCCTAGTATTTAGTGAACTCAAGCCAACCTTTTTGTACCATTTGTTAAAATAACTAAAGAGACTCTATATATGCAATTATTTAAGGTTACTTTAGGGAAATCAACACTTACTATAATAAATTGATCTATAAGCAGAAATTTTCCATTAAAGTGAATTATGTTTATAAAACCATTTATTGGAATGGAACTTAACCTTTATTTAAGTAAAAGTACAAAGTAACCATGCATACCTCTTTTACCTTACCAGAATCAATAACAAAGACAACATCATTGACTGTGATGCTGGTTTCAGCAATATTGGTGGAAAGGATCTGCAATGGGATATCACTTTAAAGTTACTATGCAAACAGAATCAACAACTAATAAAAATTTTAAAAAGAAGATTTGATGAAGCTTACTATTTTTCGAACACCTGCAGGTGGGTTTTTTAATACCTTCTTTTGATCAGATGTTTGCATATTTGAATGAAGCATGAAGACTTGATATCTGTTGATAATTGAAAGAGAAGATATAGCATAGTACCTATTTGTTATTTTAAGCAACAAATATAAAACTTTAGCTTTTACCTGTGAGTATTATCAGCAAACCGCTTGTCATCAAATAGGATGCGATCCCTCAGTCCAACAATTTCATCATATCCAGGTAGGAAAATTAATATTGCACCTTGGGGAAGAATAAGTTTTTAATGCTAAATTTCATTGTAAAATCATAGGCAATCAACAGAAATCATTCTAAGAAACTATGTGTTTTCAAGTACTGGTAAACTATCATACTTATGATACAAGATTATTCACATATTACTATCAATGCAATTATATAAAAATTTATATAGAATATTAATTTTTAAATCAAAGTTTATATTTGTTTCAATTCTCTGAGACAGTATTTACCAGCATCACAGCTATGGCAGATATTGTATAGAAGATGCATAATCAAATCCAAGTCTACTTTTTCATCATCAAAACTATGATGATAAGCTTTCAGGAGCTCTCTATCTTCAGCACTGAGGTCACTCCCATTTGTTTGAACCAGAGAACTTTCATCTAGATTTCCAAATTCCAGTGAAGCACTTTAAAAAAAAAAAAGTCAATTTCCATTAAAAAGAGTCATTCTTAAAGACCAATGATTCCATTTATGTCCCTCTTCAAATTCCTAATATATACTTAAAAAGAGTTAAGTGACACTTAATGTCACTAGCTGTAATTCATGTTTTGGTTAGGGAGCCTACTATTCAAAATAAAATTTGGTAATGAGTGATTTAGAAAAACACAATCTGAAGACAATTCTCCAATGTAAATATACAAATGGCCTATAAGCACATGAAAAGATGTTCAACATCACTAGTCATCAGCAAAATACAAATCAAAACCACCTTGAAACACCACTTCACACTGACTGGATGATTACAATAATAATAAAAAATAATAACAAGTGTTGAAAAGGGCGTGAAGAAATCGGAACCGTCTTATATTACTGGTAGGAATGTAAAATGGTGAAACCACTTTAGAAAACAATGTACCTGTTCTTTTAGAAAGATTCCTTTTAGAAAGATACCTGCTTTTAGAAAGATTCACTTGTACCCTTATAAGATAAACCATAAAGGTGACCCCATCAATCTCCCTCCCTCCCCCCATCCACTCCCCTCACCTCGCCCTCCCACCCTCTTCCCACATTCTAAGGCTATAATTAGGTTATGACATTCCTATAAAAGCTATGAATTAGTTTCAAAATAGGGCTGTGTACACTGGATACTTTTTTTTCCATTCTTGAGATACTTTGCTAAGAAGAACATTTTCCAATTCCATCCATATAAACATGAAGAAGGTAAAGTCTCCATCCTTCTTTAGGGCTGCATAGTATTCCATGGTGTACATGTACCACAATTTATTGATCCATTCGTGGGTCGATGGTCATTATGGGTTACTTCTAATTGTTCACTGTTATAGCTGGGCACAGTGGCTTATGCCTGTAATCCTAGCACTTTGGGAGGCTGATGTGGGTGGACTGCTAGAGCTCAAGTGTTTGAGACCAGCCTGAGTAAGAGCAAGACCCCATCTCTACTAATAACAGAAAAAAAAGTAGCCATTTGTCATGGAAGGCACCTGTAGTCCCAGCTACTTAGGAAGCTGAAGCAAGATGATCACTTGAGCCCAAAAGTTTGAGGTTGCTGTGACCTATGATGCCATGACACTCTACTCTACTCAGGGTGACACAATGAGTCTCTGTCTCAAAAAAAATATTGTTCACTATTATGAACAATATTCTAATGAACAGTCCACATTTAAGAAAAAAAACTCTAAGAAAATGACATGAAGGTTATCTTGACTAGTTTGTTGAGAGTATTTCAAAATGTACATATAACTGAGAAAATGACATGAAGGCTGAGTTGACCAGTTTGATGGAAGTATTTCAGATTGCATGTGAAAACCCCACACTGTACCCCAGAAGTGCATTAATGTACATAGTTACCATTCAATAAAAAAAAAAGAGGAAAAAAATGTACATGAAAACAGCACACTGTACCCCATGATTGCATTAATGTACACAGTTATGCTATAAGAAATTAAAAAATAAATAAATAAATAAATAACTCACTGGACACCAGCTCAACATGACTATTAGATAATTCTACACTAAAAATTAGTTGTTGATTCTACTACTTTCCAAAAGCCAGAATCGGCACAAACTACTGAAATAATGCCTTGCTTCTTTATCCTATATATAAAAATATAGACTACTTTCAGCACTAATAATTAAATAGGATTTCCAGAAAGTTTAGTTCAGCCCAAACTGTCTTAAAATTCTTAGCAGAAGGGCGGCATCTGTGGCTCAGTGGGTTGGGCGCCAGCCCCATATACTGAGAGTGGCAGGTTCAAACCCAGCCCCGGCCAAATTGCAACAAAAAAATAGCCAGGTGTGGTGGCAGGCACCTATAATCCCAGTTATGGGAGGCTGAGGCAAGAGAATAGCCTAAGCCCAGGAGTTGGAGGTTGCTGTGAGCTGTGTGACGCCATGGCACTCTACCGAGGACAATAGAGTAAGACTCTGTCTCTACAAAAAAAAAAAAAAATCTTAGCAGAAAAATAACAAAATTGTTTTTTGTTTGTTTGTTTGTTTGTTTTTGAGACAGAGCCTCAAGTTGTCCCCCTGGGTAGAGTGCCGTGGCATTACAGCTCACAGCAACCTCCAACTCCTGGGCTCAAGCGAGTCTCCTGCCTCCGCCTCCCAAGTAGCTGGGACTACAGGTGCCCGCCACAACGCCTGGCCATTTTTTTTTTTTTTTGGTTGCAGCCATCATTGTTGTTTGGCGGGTCCGGGCTGGGGATTCGAACCTGCCACCTTAGGTGTACGTGGCTGGCGCCTTAGCCGCTTGAGCTATAGGCGCCGAGCCCAAAATTGTTTTCAATAGGGAAATTAAACAACCTTATAATTGCTGCAGCTTTTTAATATTCTTAAGTTCAAAATCCACTTTCCTTCTTTCTTTTTTTTTTTTTTTTTTTCATGAGACAGGGTCTTGCTCTGTCACACAGGCTAGAGTGTCATCGTAGTACACTTGCAACCTCAAACTCCTAGGCTCAAGCAATCCTCTTGCTGCAGGCTTCCAAGTAACTAGGACTACAGGCATCACACCTGGCTACTTTTTTTTTTTTTTTTTTTTTTTGCAGTTTTTGGCGGGGCTGTGTTTGAACATGCCACCTCTGGCATATGGGGCCAGCACCCTACTCCTTTGAGCCACAGGCACTGCCCTCGCCTGGCTAATTTTTTAAAAAATTTTTTGTAGAGATGGTCTCACTACATTACTCAGGCTGATCTTGAGCTCCTGGCCTCCGGTGATCTTTCAGCCTCAGCCTTCCAAAGTGCTAGAATTACAGGCATGAGCCACTACACCCAGCCCTCAAAACCACTTGAAAACACTCTAGGTGTACTGTTTCTTAAATGTAAGTAAACAAAGAAGACACTGTATTCTCTATTTAAAACTATAAACTTTAGATATCAATTATCGATAATCTAGCAAATAATATACTTTATTTTCAACATCTGACATTTATAATTGATAATGTCACAATCCATGAAATAAAAAGACCAGTTAAGTTTTATCCAGATAATTGCTTTACTTGATAATCTGTGGTGTCTGCTGAGATTTACTTACCATAAGAAAGTCTAGAACATTCAAACTATTAGTACTAAAAGGATACCCAAGTTCTGGGTGCCATCACTGAAATGATGACAAAACCTCAAAACCCACAATATCTGAAACAGCATCTGGATCTACCAAGAATTTTGAGAGTCAATGACACAACTAATGTCACACTTCATTTATTTCTTCTAATGTCTGACACTACTTCTACAGAATTTAGTATAAAAACTCACATCAAATAAAACATTTTTTATGTTCTTGAATGACCAATGTTCTTTCTGTACATTTTAACTTGTGAGTTACCTGATCTAAAGATAGTCATCTCATTGAAGGAAGGGAAAATTGCTTATAATTCTCAATCTTTTCTCTAAACCTGGTCTAGTTTTCCAGGAAGAAATTTTCAAGTTTCTTGAACAACTTTCAAGAAACTTGAAAACTTTCAAGAACTTTGTTCTTTATGCCCAAGAACATAAATGTCAAACAGGAAAAGGTGCCAGGAGACAGCAGAAGTGAGTGAATGGCATCTCAACTTTCTTTTTTTTTTTTTGGCTAGGGCTGGGTTTGAACCCACCACCTCCGGCATATGGGGCCAGCGCCCTACTCCTTTGAGCCACAGGTGCCACCTGGCATCTCAACCTTCAGTCTAATCTTTAAGCCTAACAGAACCTGATTGGTGGGGGGTGGGGGTGAATGGCCCAATCCTGACACACCACAGATAAGCAAAAAAAGTCCTCACAAAATCAGCATGAAGGCTATAGATTGGATACTCTATAAAGGAGTTCCAAAGCTAAAATGAGCTTGTTTCTCATTTGCACTGTGACTTATCCTATTCTGCTAAGTCAACTTATCAATTAATTGCCTATCTTTCATTCAAAAATAAATTTAACATCTTCCATCTGTTCTGATTATCATTTTAGTGAGGTTTCAGTAAAATGCAGAGATAAATACTTATGCTGTATTTAACTAGAAATCCCCCTTTTTTAAAAAAATATATAAAAAGGTATAAATGACATGGTAAATCTTATTAAAAATACCAAAAAAATTAGATGGAAAATTCCTTAGAATCACAAAAAAAAATCTCTACTTCCCAGAAGTGTCTACAAAAAAAGTAAAAAAAAAAAAAAAAAAAGAATTACAAAATAAATCTCTAGATAAGAGGCTATAAATAGCATGTATTTGTGCATTCCATAATTTACATGACTAAGCTCTTTATAAAAAGAAGGTAGAATTAATTAAAAATCATATGAAGTTTTACCTGTAGGATTCAAGAAGATCCACAATTTCAGTCTGCCCGAAGTGTTTAGCCCAATCTAATGCCATCCTGCCAAATTCAAAGATATACTAAATTAAGACAAAGAAATAATGATCCAAAACTACCCACTCAAAATTATTTATTCACCCAATACAGATGTATCAGCATAAGATAAGCATAAGAAATCAAAAAAGGCACATGTAGCTTACAAAGATATACCAAGAACGGATGCAGTTTAAAATTACCAGCCATTTGATGCTTTACTATGGACGTTGGCTCCCATACTAATTAACTGCTCTACTTGACTTGCAAAACCTCGTCCTGCAGCAACCATCAGAGCTGTTGCACTGGTTTCACTATGTCGGTAATCAACTGAAAAAAAAGAAAAAGATAAATAAAACTTGTATTTCTAAACTACTTAAAATCATTTTGTTAAGAAGGTAGGAACAGCTTCCCAGGGAAAAGGATGGGGACCCCATTTTGGTGTGCCCACCTTAATTTTGTCCTAAATGCTTGCTCACACCTAGAGAGGAGGGAAAGACCCTATCAAACTACCAATCAGAACTTAGCCTAACAACAAGTACAACATCTTGTGGGTGACCTAGAACAGCCTTAAAGCTAATTATCCTGTGGTCCACACACCCCAATAGGCTCTCAGATGGGAGGTCCACATGTACAGTAAGACTCTGGTTCCTAAAACCATGAGGCACACCTGACCCAGAAGTATGAAAGAAAACCATGCCAGACATAACCCTTACCTCTTTGCCTACCTGCCCTAGCAATGAAGGCCCATTTGCTGTCTATAGTGAAAGTATCTTGTGCTGTAAGCCCGTAGCTTGCTCCTACTCTGTAAACCTACCCTTCTCTTCTTCAATAAACTGTTTCATGCTTGACTTTGGGGTGTCTGGTCATTTTCTAACCAAGAGTGTTGTAAGAACCAAGGACCCAGGTAATTGCTGTCTAAAACCCTGACATTTTAGGAGACAGGAAACCACCCTGAAATCCAACAATTTTAATTTTTTTTAAATTTAAATGGCAGAATTGAGTGTTAGGAGAATTACCATGGGACTATTCCCTTACTTTAACTACATGATAACAGCATTATAATCCAAGGAAATCTGCTAGTGATATGCCCTTAACATAAACAGGATAGAACAGAGATAGTAGTTGGAAGGTAAGAAAAAGGAAGATTCGTGGTTAAACTATTTTAAGCTAGCCTACATTTTTATAATTAAAATAGAAAAGGAAGCTACTAACTTGCAGAACCCTTAAAGAATCTTCCTAAATCTAGATATTGCCATGTTCACCAAATGACAAGATATAATTTAGGAATTAAAAAGTTAATTTTCATCAATAACTAGTAATAAATGCTTAAAAACTTCAAATGCAAAGTTTAAGACAATTTTTTTGTTGTTGTTTTGCTTTTCCTTTAATCCTGCATCATTCCAGGCTACTATTTTCCAAGATGCTTAATGGGAATAACATTGGTAGAAAGTTTACTTCTCCTAAAAACCTTCCTTGAGAAAAACAAAGTTCTACTGAAGTTTCTCCCTAGAATATATTTCTCAAGTAATTCAATATAATTGCTTTTAGCACTAATTTGCTTAAATTACAAAACTGGTAATTTCAGAAAAAAAATTCACTGAAAAAAGTCTCAGTAGTAAAATTTAAGATAACTAAAAAAGGAAAAATTTAATTCTCCATATACAACACCTATACTTAATTACCTCATCATTTAATAACACTCGGTGTCTGTCCAACCTGTGGCCCACAGGCTGATTATTTGAGGACAATTTTGCTTATCTTTGTTGTCAAATATTGTGAACAGTAAGCAGACCTTTTCAGGGTTTTTTTGTTCATCAGCTTTCATTAGTGTTTGTGTATTTAATGGGTGGCCCAAGGCAACCCAAAGACGTTATATTTTTAGAGCAAGTTGTAGGTTCACGACAAAACTAAGAGGAAGATACAAAGATATTCCATGTGTCACCTGCCCTTACACATGTATAGCCTCCCCTGTTATTAATATCGCCCACCAAAGTGGAACATCTGTCACAACTAATAAACCCACACTGATACAGCATCACCCAAAGTCCACGTTTACATGAGATGCACACCTGGTTCTGTACATTTCACAGGTTTGAATGTATAATGGCTTTCTTCTTCTTTTTTTTTTTTTTTAAGACAGAGTCTCACTAGTTTGCCCTAGGTAGAGTACCACAGCATCACAGCTCAGAGCAACCTCAAACTCTTAGACTTAAGTGATTCTCTTGCCTCAGCCTCCTGAGTAGCTGGGACTACAGGCACCCACTACAATGCCTGGCTAATTTTTGTTGTGGCTATCCTCGTTCTTTAGCTGGCCTGGGCCTAGGTGTATGTGGCTGGAACCATAAGCACTGTGCTATGGGTGCCGAATGGCTCTCTTCTTAATAATGATAATGCTCTCTCTTGAAGAGAACCAAAGAAAAATATACTATAATGACATGCATTTTTATTTTTTATTTTGCTTTTCTTTGGGAGGATTGTGTTTGTTTTTTGCACAGGTAGCCATGCCTTATTCCTGGATTCAGATTCAGTTAAGTCTGGGATGGTCAGGCATTTTCAGAGAGGTCTAAAATAATTATGGTCTGTAAAACTGACTATTCAAGTCATGGCCTTGGAGAATAGTATCAAACTATGCGTATTTTGAGCAGAGGGGTAGAATAAATATGAGAAATTTAAAATGTCTGTAATATACCTCCCTTTAAGAGGCGGAACCTAATTCCTTTCTGAGTGTGAAGTGGACCAAGTCACTCACTAATGAGTAAACAGAAGGGGTGGTGTGCAACTCTGGACACGAGGTCATAAAATGTAACCACAGCTCCTTGCTTGCACATTCCCCTTCTTTCTTTAATCACTCACTCTTGAAGAAGACAGTAGCCGTGCGATGGAGGAGACCATATGGCTAGTTACTGAGGCCTTCTGCCAATAGCTAGCAACAAACTAAGGCCTCTTGCTGACAGTCATGTAAGTGAGCCTCCTTGAATGCAGGTCCTCCAGCCACAATAAACCTTCAGATGACTACAGCCAACTTAAGTGAAAGCTCCTAAGACACTTGGAGCTAAACCACCCACCTAAACTCTTCTCAGATTCTTAATTTTCAGATACGACATAATAAATGTTTTAGGCAGCTAAGTTTTAAAATTATTTATGATACAGGGACAGATGACTAGTATATGGAATATAACCTATAGGAATATGACAGAAAATGTCTATTATTACTGATTACTGACTGCTTTTACCAGCTGTTTCTCCAAGCTATCACATAGGAAAAATGATGTAATAAAAGGAAATCTATGAAGGACATGGTTTCCTGAATCACAGGAAGTATTTTCAACTCTGGTGCCAACTAAGAGTTGAGATTTTAGAAAAGAAATAAAAAGATGGGATGTGAAAAAACTTCATAGAGCTACCACAATATTTTAGTTTTCTTCACATGGCTTAAGATATCAGAATACTGAACTGAGAGAAATGTATAAACTATACATAAGAGAAGAGAGACCTGGGTCCACAGGATGACCACTACTGAAGTAATAGTCTAGTATTCACAAAAAAAAAAAAAAAAAATCAAGAAGCAAGCCAAGATTGATACTTAAATACTTAAAATGCTTCATAAATACTGTAAAGCAATGAATCTCAGAGTTTAAGTTAATCTATTAAGTGAGACTGTTAAACTCTCCTGAGTTAATATTTTTTAAATAACAGAAAAAGAATGAATACCAAAAAACTGGAAATGAACAAATATCTGTTCTTTCAAATGCAATAAATTATTTTTCAAAATAAAGAACCATTAATTTTCAAAAAATGATGAGCTTTATAGAAGTAGATCAATAGAAGACTAAATACAATTACAAAGAACAAGAAATGATCAAAGACACTCATTTATTTCTTAAGAGGTTTGTTAGACTATTAAGATGTGTAAGATTGTAACTGCTTAAACACTCACACCCATATATTGACCTAAAGCCTCTTGTAGCATGGTACATACTTGATCATTCACCTGGGCCCCCCAAATAATAAAATAAGATTACTAATAGAATAGGTAATAATTAGAACTTTACAAAAAAGTTAAGAGGATATAATGGACCAAATCTAACTATAAGATAAAATTGTAAAGGAATAAATAGAATATCTTAAGCTCAAAAAAACTCAAAACAAGTACATGTACAGAGGTAAGTTTAATAAAATCACATATTAAAAAAATAACCACAAGTTTATGGCTTGACACCCGTAGCTCAGTGAGTAGGGCATTAGCCACATACACCGAGGCTGGTGGGTCTGAGCCTGGCTCAGGCCTGCTAAACAATGACAACTCCAACCAAAAAATAACCAGGCATTGTGGTGGGGGCCTGCAGTCCCAGCTACTCAGGAGGCTGAGGCAAGAGAATTGTTGAAGCCCAAGAGTTTGAGGTTGCTGTGAGCTGTGATGTCACAGACTCTACCAAGAGCAATGTGATGAGACTGTCTCAGAAAAAAAAAACAAGAGTTTCAAAACAGTATGACTCAGTAAGACAATGGAGTTGGTAAAGAGCTGTACTGACCACAGGCTGAACTAATATAAGTAAAGAGAAGATCCTTTTAGATTAATAGATCTACCTAAAATGGTCACTAAGAGATTAACATCCAGAAATGGACACCAATGCTTTTCAAAAAAGATAAAATAGAACATGTCCACATAAGGTGGACCAGAGCAGGAAGAACTAGATACCATGTTATGTTAAAGATGAACAGAAGTAAAAGATATAGTGAGTACAATAAACAAACAACCTAAACGTATGTCAGGCATAATACATACTAAATCTCATCATTATCACCCAGAAGCAGAAAAAGACAGAAATTATATAGAGATCATTTCAACATATTAAAAAATTAAAACAAACCAGATTCAAAAGAATATCTTCAAGAAAGGTACTGATCTTCCTGTTACTACACATGTTCAAACAGATTAGCATTTGGTAAAGACGCTTAAAAGTAGTATTATTATTCAACAAATATTTTTCAGCACTTACAATGTAATTCAAGGGATACAAAGATGAGGTAAGTAAAACAGACAAGGTTTCTACCTTCATGTAGCTTCTATGTATTGAGATAGGTAGTAAAAGATAAAATATATGATGTCAGATAATAAAAAAATAATAAGCAGAGTAAGGAGAAATTGTGAGAAAAGGGCACAATTTTAGTAAGGTCATCAAAACAGCCGTGGAAATGCAATATGTATGGAGAGGCCTAAAGGAAGCAAGCACTGGGCCATAAGTATCTGGGGGAGAGTGTCCAGGCATTCAGAAACAACAAAACAAAGGCCCAAAGATGGGCATGTGTCAGTATGTGTAAAGAATAACGAGACAAGTGTGTCTAAAGTCAAGTAAACAGGGAAAAGAGGAGCAGAAAAGTGAGATCAAAATGGCAGCCAGAGATGCAATCATGAAAAGGACTCTGTTTTCTTTTTCCAGACATGGAGTCTCCCATGCAGCCCAGGTTGTGCTTGGGTGATCCTCCTGTATCAGCCTCACAAGTAGCTGGGACTACAGCTACACCCAGCTCAGGACTTTGATTTTTATTCACAGTGTAATCAAAAGTCTGGGAGGGTTGAAAACTGGCATGTAACATGATCTTATTCCCTTTTTCAAAGAAACAATCTGATTGTTCTACAGAGAACAGACAATAGTATCATGACAACAGAAGCAGTTAGTGAGCTACTGAAGTAATCCAGGAGAGAAACACTGGCTTGGACTAGGATGGCAGCAGTAGAGAAAGTAAAATGTGGTTATATTCAGGATTTATTTTAGAAGGTAAAGCTAACAGGATTTGCTAACAGATTATATGTGGAGTGTGAGAGCAAAGTCAAAGATGACTTTCTATACATTTTGCTGCCCTATTAGCAATCAAGTAAACACTAAGAGACCATTACTGAAAAGCAAAACACCAAGAAAAGAGCAGGTGAAAAGGAAAGTAGGTGGGAGGGTGTAAGGGATAACAGACATTGTTTGCGACATACCAATTTTACCCACTGAACAGATATCCAACTGGAGATATCAAGTGATCAAGTATATTAAACACAGAAGGGGACCAAGTATAGAACACAATAATTAAGTAAATGAGGTAAAAGCTATATTAATTAGTTTGATGTAACCATTCCAAATTGTATTAAAAAAAATCAACACACTGTACCCCACAGATGCATAAATGTATTCATGAGCTAAGTGTATATGACTTAATAAAAGGAAAATAAAATAAAACTAAATTAAATTAAAAAAACAGAAGGGAAAAGCTCAGGATTGGAGATATAAAATTAGGGGTCATTTAAAACAAATATTTAATGCCATGACTAGACGAGATCCATGTAAGGAGAAAGTATAACTAGAGTTAAGGTCTTTGAGGCCTAGGATATTTCATATTTACAGTTCAGGAAAAGAAGAGAAAAATCTTGCAAAGGAAACCAAAAAGTTAGAGCCAGCAAAATGACAAAAAAATAAGCCAAGTATTGAGTATCAGAAGTTGATTAAACAAAATATTTCCAGAACAGAGTGATAACAATTACAATAATAATGCTGAGGGGCGTGGGTGAGCAGATTAACTACTTGACATCTAAATCTTTCTGGGCAGGGGGAACCAGAGTATGTGCACAACATACACACACAGAATTATTTTTATACATTTTTGTCATGTATTCACAGACCTCATACAACTAAAATGAAAACATTAAGAATTCCTGATTTAACACAATAATTATTTATTCTACTATGCTATGTTAGTAAGATCTTGATTTGTGCATTGAAATAAGCACTCCAAAAAAACAAGTAACTGGTTGGGAGCAAAAAATGTAGTGCATAAATCCTGAATTAAGCTATACTTCCTTCATAAATAACTGTAAGAGTAATAAAAGAAATTAAACTTACCACTAACATTTTCAGTTAAAATAAGGTGAAAGACCTGAGCAAAGGCATCAACATCTTTATGTAGCCATATGTCAGACAGACAAGCATCCATTTCCTTTATTAACCACGGTTCCAAACAATTCACATCTTTTTCTGTCTACAAAACAAAAAAAAAAAAAAGGAAAGCATAAATTATAAATTAACTAACAGTTCCTAAACAACGTAAGACAACCACAATGGCCACAAGTACCACAATGGTACTTACCATATGATACTACAGTAAAGGCTTTGATATAAAAGTTTCTCATTTCATCACAAACATTATCATGCACAATATTGTATTTTATTCTTATATATAAGAATGAGCTTGTCAATAAAGGACTATGATTCAAGCACAATGTTAGCAAATTGTGTTTCTGATAGGATGTTGCTAAATTTTATCTGTACCAGGGGTTCCCTCTCCCAACTGCACATCAGAAGAAGCCCCACTTGCAACTTTTTAACACTGATGCCTCCTCCCGCCTGACAGCAGGTACATCAGAATCTCTAGTGGTGGGGCATCATATTCCACAGGGCTTTAAAATCTTCTCCGATGGCTTTAAAAGCTGCTCAGGGGATATAATACGCTGCCAAGCTAAAGAACCACCAATCTACATAGTAAAAATATTGTGCAATGACCCAAATGGGTCTTCCCTATACTAAATAAAAACTTTTAGCAAAAATTTTTAAACATTCTTAAAAAGGATTTTTAAAAACCTTATATAGTTCATTTAGATGCATGAGAACTGTAAACACTGACAGAAAATTGCAAGCCTATCTGTATTACGTATCTTCTTCTGCCCTACAGAATAAAAAGTTGCCCTGAAAACTCTGTTGTTTGAAAATACACTAAGAATTGCCCTTCAATTATGCAGTAAAAAATTATAAGGTCATAAAATGTTCTTTAACCTACATAATTTTCACTGAAAATATCAGCAGGAAACCAGGGAGGTCTTACCAACTGACTAAAGACAGCATCACCACCATCATCCAATAAATCATACTCTTCAGTCACATTTGGAACAGTTCTCTGCCTCTGAGATTCAGGCTTGAAAGTATTCTCTTGAGCTGAGTACCATTCTGTAAGTGTGGTTTGTTGTTTCTCTTCTAAATTAATTATCAAAGAAAGTATAAGTAGATACATTCTTTCCTTTTTGAAATGTATTACTTTGTTTAAACAAATTCAGTGTATCTGCTATCAGTTTGCCTTATTCTGCAGTTACTTTACAAAATATATATTAAGAACATTTAATAAAATGTGTTATGCTAAACCATGCAGACCCATGACACTACTTAAAAAACTTCATCTATTCATCTATTAGTAATAAGTTTCTTTCTTTCTTTTTTTTACTGTTTCAGATTAATTGAGAATACAAAGTATTAGGTTACACTGTCTGCATTTGTTAGGTAAAGTCCCTCTTATAATTGTGTCCTGCCCTCAAGAAGCGCACCATACAGTGTAATCTCCATCCCCCTCTCTCTCATTCCCCTGCCCTCCTCCCATCTTGAATTGAGTTTGTCTCTTATGAGGATATGTATTAGATCATCTACTGGTTTCATATTAGAATTGAGTACATTGGGTTCTTGCTTCTCCATTCTTGTGATACTTTATGAAGAAGAATGTGTTCCAACTCTATCCAGGTTAATAAACCATTTATAGAACCTCTAGCACCATGCTAGTTGTTTCAGATACAACAATTATATGTAATTTTCAGCTTCAGAAGTTTCACGATATAGGAGTTTTACAACCTACATATCAGTAATTCAGCACTGCCCACTGAAACAGGCATTGCTAATTACATTTTTCAAGTGGAGACGCCAAAGGATACCTGTCCAAGGTCATAAAGTGTAAACAAAGGTATCAAAGCTCAAAGCCATGTCTCCTGTAATAAATAATTCACTTAAAAATAAGAAAAAGGAGGCGAGGCATGATGGCTCATGCCTGTAATCCCGGCACTCTGGGAGGCCGAGGTGAATGGATTGCCTGAGTTCACAGGTTCAAGACCAGCCTGAGCCAAGTGAGACCCACCTCTAAAAACAGCTGGGCATTGTGGCGGGTGCCTATAGTCATACCTACTCAGCACAAGGAGGCAAGAGAACTTCTTGTGCCTATGTGAGCTATGATGCCACAGCACCTCTACCAAGAGCAACAAATGAGACTCAGTCTAAAAAAAAAAAAAGTAAGAAAAAGGAATCGGAACCCTAATTCAAAAGCTGAGGTATAGTCTAAGTCTTAACAATAGATATATTAAAATAGGTAAAATAAAGCTAAATTTAAACTACAGATGAAATTCCACTATAATATCAAGTTTTTAAAACAACATTTTCATCAAAGATGAGCCTATTATTACTCAAATCCTACTCCTTCACTCCCTCCCCCCATCCACTTCCTACCCTCCCCTATGAGATATGCTGTGGGCAGCCAGCATAAACTTTTTTGCCTCCTTAAACAGACACACTCAACCTCCTTAAATCTGGCACTTATTTCCAATAACTCTCCACAGGTTATAATCTGCAGGCATAAACCAGGATGCAAAGGTATACTTGGGACAATATTCCAAGTGGGAGTATCGTCCCAAGTATACCTCATATTATATTAATATGTTTAATATTAATATACTTATACTCATGATCAATCATGCCTATAATCCCAGCACTCTGGGAGGCCGAGACGGGTGGACTGCCTGAGCTCACAGGTTCAAGACCAGCCTTAGCCAAGTGAGACCCCCCACCTCTAAAAACAGCCGGGCGTTTTACTATTAATGTAGTATATTAATATTCCTGGCCTCCCAGAGTGCTGGGATTACAGGATAATTAATTAACGTTATTTAATTATACACAGAGAAAAACACTTTCAAGAGTCCTTGCACATCCATAATATAAAGCTGGAGCATGCCAAAAAGTTATCATCAATACCATTTTTATTTCTTTGATAAAAAGCTTACCTCGCTGTTTTTCCTTTTTGTACTTTAACATTTCTTTGTTTGTATATCCAGTAGTTCTTAAAATATCTTCCAGAAACATTTCTTTTACTTCAAATGGTCTTCCTTGTACTAAAAAATAATTTTTTAACAATTTGCATCTTCGAGAAAATTCACATAAAAAATGAGAATCTCAATCTAATTAATCTAAGTATAAAACTCAAAAGCAATTCCATAGTTCAATTGACTCTTTAAGATACTGTCCTTTAAATACATATTTGATTTATAGACAACTGACTATAATAAACTGTATTTTATTATAGACAACTGTCTACAATAAACTGTATTTTATTTTAGCCAACTATTCACTTGTTTGCTTTTGTTTTTTGCAGTGTTTACTTAACATGTGTCTAGTATCATGTTTGGCACCAGGAATACAAATAGTAAACAGAAACAGAGATACCTCCTGCCCTCCTGAGGTAAGCTAGCAGGGGAAACAGATAGTAAACAAATAATCCAAAATAAAGTAAAAATGGAGTTGTGAAAAGTCCCATAAGAGAGCTCTATAAGAGAGAAGTACAAGACATTATGACAGTATATAACAGGAGGATTTGAATGTGTCAAGAAAACCAGCATCACTGAGAAAAGAGCAGAAGCAAATAAATAAAATAGGATATACAGAAAAGAAAAAATATAACATGAAGGAAAAAAGAGCATTTGCAATGTCCTTGTTGTGAAAGCAAAATATATTATGTTTCCAAAAAAACAAAAGAGCCAACTTAGAATACTGTGGAAGTGGAGGAATGGAACAGGGATTATAGTTTAAGATAAGGCAGAAGAAATAGGTAAGACTTACTAAAGGTTTAGGTCTTTATCCAGAGATAAAGGTCATTCAAAGATTTAAGCTCAGGAGAGTGCTCTACATCATCAGAATTCCACTTCAGGAAGGACCAGTCTAGCTGCAATGTGGAAAATGAATTTAAAAGACAAGAGAATGGATATAACACACCAGGTAGGAACTATTGGTATGATTCAGATAAAACAATGACTTGAGTGAGGTGAGATAGTGAAAATGAAAAAGCAGACCAATTCTAGAATTAGTTGAGAACTCAGAATTACATTAGCTACAGAGGAATGATAAAGTAGTATCAACTACAGTTCTTGGACGTCTAGCTTGCAAATCTGGATGGATGACCATATCACTCTTTTCAGTCACATTTGGAACAGTTTTCTGCCTCAGAGATTCAGGCCTGAAAGTATTCTCTTGAGCTGAGTACCATTCTATAAGTGTAGGACTCAGGAAAACTGAAAAGAAAGACAAGTTGGTTGGTGGGAGATGGAGTTTAGTTTCAGGCATGCATGTCAAACAAAAAATGCCAGAAAGGCCAGGGATGGTGGCTTACTCCTATAATCCTAGCACTCTAGGAAGCCCAAGTGGGTGAACTGTTTGGGCTCAGGAGTTCAAGACTAGCCTGAGCAAGAGAGATACTCTATCTCTACTAAAAACAGAAAAACTAGCCAGGCATAGTGGCAGATGTCTGTAGTCCCAGCTACTCAGGAGGCTGAGCCAAGAGAATGGCTTGAGTACAGGAGTTTGAGATTGTTGTGAGCTATGATGCCATGACACTCTACTCTAGGCAACAGAGTGAGACTGTCTCAAAAAAAAAAAAAAAATGTTCTAGGAAACAGTCTGAATTGAAAATAAAGATTTATAAGTCTCAGTACAAAAGAAAAAGTAGAAGCCAAGGGCATGAATAAGAGCTTCCAAGGAAACTATGTATGTCCAGTAGCTAATAGAGTACAGCCATAATGGGAAGAAGAAGGTCGGAGGGGAAAGGAGGAAGAGGGAGTGAATAGGAAAGAGAAAGGGAAATGGATCAAGAGAATAACTCAAGAAAACATCAACATTTAATCATCATGCAAAAGAAGAGAAGACCAGAGAGAAGACTGAGAAAGAGCAGTTTATAATGCAGAATGAGACTCAGGAGATAGTGTTGCCAAATAAATTAGCATTTCAGAAAAAAGAGCCCATGAGAAACACCACAGAAACTTTAAGTTAAGATTCCTCCCTATAATGTAAGTATTAGGCTAGGCAATTAGATCAATGTCATAATAACACTGGTAAGGACTACAAGTGAATACTTCAGAAATGTAAATCATTTCAGCCTTTTGAAAAGTAAAATAGCAAAAGATATTAAAATTAAAAATAGTTATACTCTTTTTCTCAGCAATTTCACCATCAGGAATCCATCCCTGCAATAAGAGCACCAATGTATAAGGGTATGTGAACAAAGATACTCATTATAATGTTATTTGTAGTGGAAGGTTGGGCAGAAGATACTAGAATTCAACCTGAACATCCAAAAATAAAGAAATGCCTAAAGAAAAGGATAGTACATCCATACTGCAAAATACTACAGCAGATGCTTAACAAACTAGAACCAGAGTTATGAACTTGAGAAGTTTATGATGAACAAAGCAAACTGCAAATAATGGATTAGGTATCTGCTTTTTTATTTTGCTCATTTTTTTAAAACTCACTTTTATAAATCTTAAAAAAATATTTGCATATAATTATATGAGCATGGGCAAGGTAAGAACAGAAATATACTCTGTACAATGTTTTTAACATCTGCAATATTAGAAGCATAGGACATAAAAGCAAAAAGATGAGATCAGCCTAAGTAACTTAGCAAAAGCCTTTCTGTACAAAAAAAAAAATTAAAAATAAAAATAACTAAGAAATATCTAAAATAAAATGTTTATTTAAAAATAAATAAATAAAGGCCAGGCATGGTGGCTCACACCTATAATCCTAGCACTCTAGGAGGCCAAAGCAGTTGGACTGCTCAAGCTCAGGAGTTCGAAATCAGCCTGAGCAAGAGTAAGACCTCATCTCTAATAAAAATAGAAAAAAAAAAAAAAAACTAGCTGGGCATGGTGGTGCATGCCTGTAGTCACAGCTACTCGGGAGACTGAGGCAAGAGGATTTCTTGAGCCCAAGAGTTTGAGGTTGTTGTAAGCTATGATGATGCCACGGCACTCTACCCAGGGCAACAGAAAAAAAAAAAAAAGAAGAAGAAGAAGAAAAAGGAAAAGAAAAGTTAAAAAATTTTAAAAATAGGATGTGGTAATGATGAACTTTTTCTCTTTAAGTGAACACAACTTTTTTATTTAATTAAACAGCAGTTTATAATTTTTTTTAGGATTGGTGGTAAAATCCATTTTTATTAAAGGACAAGTAAATGTAAACATGGGAGTGCAGGCTACTTTTTTCAAGAAATTTACCAAGAAAGTGAAGAAACTATAAGACAGAACTTAAGGGAAAAACACAGGTTCAAAATAAAGCATTACTTCCTTTTAAGATTAGAGAACTGAGCTCACTAAAAAATAACAAAGAGCTGTAGATGGAAAATCTACAGGCTAAAAGGAGAAAACTATGAAGCCTATCTAAGAAGGAAGAGAAGTGAATACTTCAGAATATTCTCCAATTTCTATTAATATCATTAGGCTTAATAATGTTCTTTCATAAAAATTATAAAAGAAATCTGACAAATTTAACTTACTATATATCACTGGACAACTTCCAAAATATCTTATAAAAAGATTTACATCCAAGGCAGCACTAGAAAGAATTAGTTTCAAAGTTGGGTGCTTTTGCAACAAATCTCTTAACTTTGTAAGTAAAAAATCACTAAATCGATCCCTTTCATGTACTTCATCCTGCAATAAACAGAAATAAAACCACAGAACAGTTAAAACTATAAAAACGACTATGTCTTTAAAATAATGGCATTACTGGGTTTTGGACTGATTTAAATTAAATGTGGAAAGGCCAATCGACGTTAGTGAAAATTCTGTATTATGGACAATTCAGAAATCATCAGAAATTTAACTACCACCTACTATAAATGACAAAAATAGTCTTCCATCAATACCTGTGAGAAACTTTTCTAGGACTTTCCTTATATCAAAATCCACAGATGCTCAAGTCCTTGATATAAAACAGCATAGTATTTTGCACATACCCTTTGCACATCCTTCTATATACTTTAAGTCATCTCTAGATTGCTTATAATACCTAACATGGGGCTCAGCGCCCGTAGCACAGTGGTTACGGTGCCAGCCACATACACTGAGGCTGATGGGTTTGAACCTGGCCCAGGCCAGCTAAAGAATGACAACTGCAACAAAAAATAGCCAGGCGTTGTGGCAGGCTCCTGTAGTCCCAGCTACTTGGGAGGCTGAGGCAAGAGAATCAACTAAGCCCAAGAGCTGGAGGTTGCTGTGAGCTATGATGCCACAGCATTCTACCAAGGGTGTCAAAGTGAAACTCTGTCTAAAAAAAAAAACCTAATATGGTATAATGTATGTAAATACTTTTTATACCATATTGTTTAGGGAATAATGACAAAAAGTTCAGTATAGATACAATTTTTTAAATATTTTCAATACTCATTTGTTTGAATCCATGGATATGGAACCCACAGAGACAAAGGGCCAACTGTACTGCCCTTGTTTCCCGCAGAATCTAAGACCACATAAACTATAATGAATTCTAAATAAGTCCAATTGACTGTTCCTTTAATAAGTACAAAATCTATGTAAAAATGCTTCTGGTTGGATCAGGCCTCAGGTGCATCCTTTGCTAAGTTTATAAAGGTTACTTATTATAATGTAAACCTTAATCTAAATTTTTTCTGAAATTACATAGATAAAAACTTACAATTTTTTTTTTATACAGGATCTCGTTCTGTTGCTTAGACTAGAGTGTAGTGGTATTATCATAGCTCACTGCAATCTCTAACTTCTGGGCTCAAGCAATCCATGATGCATGCCACCATGCCTGGCTAAGTTTTCTAAGTTTTGTAGAAATGGGGTCTTATTATGTTGCTAAGACTGGTCTTGAACTCCTGACCTCAAGCCATCCTTCCACCTCAGCCTCCCAAAACATTAGGATTACAGGTGTGAGCCACTACACCCAGTCTATAATTCTTTAAAGCAGGAATAATTCATCTGCTTAGTTCACTGATAGCAGGTTAATTTAGCAGCTTAACCATGATGTTAACTGACTATAAAGTATACTCCTATAAGGGGGAAATATATGACAAAAAAGGAGAGATCAGAAAACCAAGGTTAGAAAAGGAAAATCACCATTTCTGAAGAACTCTAAATACATGTATTATATTCATCTATGAAAACTATATTTTTTAAACTACCTATTTATTTTTCTCTAATAAAATCTGATGGTCTTATTCTATATTTGATACAAAATATTTCTAATAAGTATAGACAAAAATAACCTGATTGCAGTATCATATTCAAAATAAAAAACTGGTTCTCATTTTACCCTTTTCCAAAAAATGTAATTATGTATTTAAACTTTAAGTAATCTGAGTGACATATAGCAAATTCAGCAATATTCTTACCACAATAACATGTGTCACAGTTGACAAGGTGCTATCACCTGCCATCAATGTACGAAGCAATACCCCATTAGTGCAAAATGTCAGAAGTGTCTTTGGAGAAACCCTTTTCAAAAAAATCAAAATAAAATGCACAATTAAAAATCTTTTACTTAATTAAAACATGACCACATTAAATGCTAGACTTACATATCCTTCAGTAAGTATTACAAATATGATAGTGTTCTGGTATGTATAGTTTATTAGCAAAGTTATGTGATTTTGCAAGGTTATATAAGATTGCCTTGACAACAGCCTTTTATTAAGTGATATATTTCATTAAAGAACCTAAATAGCTTAAAAAAAAGAAAAGGCCTTTAACACATTTTTGCTTGAGGAAAAAGATATCACTAATGAAATCAGATTTTTTAATCACTTTTAAAAACAAAGAAATAGTATACTACTTTTCAAGAAGATATTACCAATACTATAGGTTGAGTATCCCTTATCCAAAATGCTTGGGACCAAAAGTATTTTGGATTAGAGATTATTTGGACTATATTATTAGCTGACCAATCCAAATCCAAAAATCTGAAATTCACAATGCTTCAATGAACACTTCCTCTGAAAGTCACATCAGCACTCAGAAAGTTTCAGATTTTGGAGCATTTTGGATTTTAGATTTTTTAATTTGGGATGCTCAACCTGTACTACTGCTAATAAATTTAATCACTAATATTTGGTAACTGCTTACTCTGAACTTCACACCCAAACTGTGCTCTAGGTGCTCTCATTAGCCTCATTTTATAGATGAGGAAAATGAAGATCAAAGAAGTAAAATAATCGGCACTTGATCATAAAATGAAATTTTTATCTTGAATCCAAACACTTTTTCAAACTACTCAAAATCTCTCTTAGACATGATGTCAACATCCTAATATAGACTTAAATTAGGGTAAAACGATTATCTAACTTTGCAACTAACATACTCCCTCTACTTTAAGAGAAATATAAACATTTAGCCTTTTCTAAGCATGATAAAATATAGAATACATGACAATCGTCTTTACCTGCTTTCTAATCGAATCTGATAACCAATTGTTTGACCGATCCTCTCCCTCCTCTCTGCAGCAACTCTTTCAGCCACAGCAATTGCTGCTAATCGTCTTGGTTGAGTACAAAATATACGGCAGGGGATACCATTTTTAAAGCAATCATCTAAAAGGAACTGAGGAATCTGAAACAAAAGGTTTAAAATACCGTAAAATGACATGACTACATACCCAGAAAAATCCAAGTAAATCAACTAAAAAACTTAGAACTAAAAAAGTTCTGCAATGTGTCCACATATAATCCTAAAAACAACTTTCATGTAACTAGTAATAATAATCAGCTTTAAAATATACTTTCAAAAGACCTTGTTCACAAAAGAAACCTAAACTAAAATATGTAAATTCGAATTTTTCCAAAAATATTTAAAGCTTACATGAACACCATAAAATACTGCTGAAAAACACAGAACTTATGCTAAATTCCTGGATAGGAAAAATCAATATTTTAAAAATGTTAATTCCCCCGAAGTTATTCTATAAAGTCAATGGAATGAAAATAAAATTTCCATTGAGATTCTTTAAGTAGTAAAAAGTATAAAGAAAACAAAAATAGCCTATAATTCCAGGACTGCAGATATTTTTCTGTGAAATTCAAATGGGATGCAAAGATTTAAAATCAAAAGTGAAAGTCTTACCCATCTATCCCCCACCACCACTATGCTTAACCTTCTCCCCAAGGTAACTACTATTAAGTTGGTTATGAAATCTTGCCAGAAAAAAAATTTATACAACTCAGAATATTTGTTTTTTATTCACACAAAGTGATTATTGTACTTATAGCTCTCTTTTACCAGATCTACCTAACCCACTTTAACAGCTACATATTCCATCTTATGGATGTGACTACACATTTAAGTAATTTCTGGGGTTTTTACATTATTGATGTTTATTATCAAGGTTGTAGTAACCATCTATTTCCACATACTTCCGCAAAGATATAAGTATTATAAATCACTAGCAGTGAAAATACTGAGTCAAAGAGTACATAAATTTTTTATTTGGATATAAAATGATCAAGTTACCCTCCAAAACAATTCAACAAAGCAGAAGAGCTATTTTTCAATACCCATATCAATACTTAATATTATCAGTTTTTTCATTTCTACCAATTTGATCCTTGAAAATATCATTGGGTCTTCTTTATTTTCTTTTTCTTTTTTCTTTTTTTTTTTTTTTTTTGAGATAGGCGTCTCAGTCTGTTGCCCAAACTAGAAGGCCATGGCATCAGCCTACCTCACAGCAACATCAAACTCCTGGTTCAAGCGACCCACCTGCCTCAGCCTCCTGAGTAGCTGGGACTACATTTACCCACCACAATGCTCAGCTTGCTCAGGCTAGTCTCAAACTTCTGGGCTCAAGAGATCCTCTCACCTCAGCCTCCCAGAGTGCTAAGATTATAGGTGTGAGCCACCCTGTCTGGCCCTGATTTTCATTTCTTTAAATGTGAAAAAAAGAGAACATCTTTTCATACCTGTCCTACCCCTCAGGGTTTTTTTTGTTTTGTTTTTAGCTTAGCTAGTTCACCCAGAAACATAAATGCACAAAAACTACCAAGAAATATTTTAAAAGAGATGAGAAAATCAAAGATTTAAAAAAAAATCCTGAAAGAAGTTGAAAGGGAAGAAAAAAACGCATTACATATACAGGAACAAAGACAAGAATTCCATCAATTTCTCCTCAGAAAGCATACATAAAAGAAGGGTAGAATACAAAAGTGTTGAGATAAAAATCCCCACCAACCTAGAATTCTATACCTTGCAAAATTATCGTTCAAAAATGAAGGAAAAATGAAGACTTTTTCAAACAAGAAGTGAGAATTTGTTGGCAGTAGATCTGCCTTGAAAATAACACAGGACAGAGTTGAACCTTAATAAAGAAGAACACTACAGGAGTAAGTGAAGGTAAAATAAAAACTTTTATTTTTCTTATTCTTAATTAAGCTAACAATATGTTCAAAATAACAATAGTAACAATGTATTTGATTACATATATTTATCTTTATGTATGTGTGAACATATGTATGCTTATATATAAGTGAAATAAGTAACAACAACGATTCAAGGGACAGGAGGGAGGAATTAGGATAGTTTTGCTATTTCAGGTACTCACACTACCTGTAAAGATATATAGTTTACTTGAAAAAAAAGTTGATTTAGTTGTAAATGTATATTGCAAACTCCAAGGCAACAACTAAAATAAGGTAGAAGATAATGAAGAGGAATATTATACTCATGTTGTAAACCACAAAATGCAAAGCACAGGATCCTGGTACAGGAATACATGACATTAAAGATATTACATGTAAGAAAAATTTCAAAACATATTAGAGAAACTTAGCATTTGATGAAAAATGGTATGGGGGAAGGATAGATTATTAGATAAAAGTTATATTTAAACTAGATATTAAAGTGAGGAGAAAAATAAGATTTCTTCCTGATAGACGTTATAGTTTTTAAAACTACAAATGTAAAAGTATTAAAATGAAATATGAAAAGAAAAAGTTGAGTGCAGTGGTGTGCCCTTAGTTCTAGCTACTCAAGAGTATGAGGTGGGAGGATCCCTGGAGGCCAGGAGTTCAAGACTGCATTGAACTATGATCATCCCTGTAAACACACACTCCATTCTAGCTTGGGCAACACAGCAAGATCCTGTCTCTTTTTTAAAAAAATTTTTTTATCCACGTGGAGAAAATACTTGAAGATATTAGCCTGGGAAAAAACTTGATGAGGAAGACCCCCCACCCAGCAATTGCAGCAACACCAAAAATAAACTGAGATTTGATCAAGCTAAAAAGCTTTTGCACAGTTAAGGATACCACGAACAAAGCAAACAGCCTTTGGAATGGGAGATTTTTGCATGTTATGAATCTCACAAAGGCTTGATAACTTCTACAGAGAACTCAAATTAAACAATAAGAAAAGTACAAACCCTCTCTATAAGTGGGCTAGAGATTTGAACAGAAACTTCTCCAAGGATGACAGATGAAAGGCCAACAAACACATGAAAAAATGCTCATCGTCTTTAATCATCTAAGAAATGCAAATCAAAACTACTCTAAGATATCATCTAACCCCAGCAAGATTAGCCCACACCACAAATTTCCAAAACACCAGACGCTGGTGTGGATGTGGGAAGAATGGAACACTTCTACATGGCTGGTGGGATTGCAAACTAATACAGCCTTTTTGGAGAGAAGTATGGAGAATCCTCAAAGATCTAAAAGTAGACCTTGCATTTAACTCTGTAATCCCATTAGTAGGTATCTACCCAGAAGAACAAAAATTATTTTACCACAAAGACATACGGACTAGAATGTTTATTGCAGCTCAATTCATAATTGCCAAATCGCAGAAGCAACTTAAATGTCCAGCAATTCACAAATGGATCAACAAATTGTGGTAGATGTATACCATGGAATATACCATTTTATTCAGCCATTATAAAAGATGGAGACCTTACATGTTTTACAGTTACTTGGATGGAGTTGAAATACATTTTTCTTAGTAAAGTATAACAAGAATGGAAAAATATCCAATGTACTCCATATTAGTATGAAATCAATATATAAATAATTATACACTCATAAGAACAATAAAACACTAATATACTCCAGTTCGGGGGTAGAGGGAAGCAGGAGGGGGAGGGGAGAGAACATTTGGCAGAAGGAAAAGGAGTTGAAAGGCATGAGGCGAGGTCCCCACTAATGTGCACACTGTGAGGGTGTATAACACGCTCCCTGGGCAAGGGGCTCTTCTACAGATGGAACTTTACCCTGGAAGTGAGAACAATGTAACCTAAAATTGTACCCCCATGTTAATTTGAAAAAAATAAAAAATAAAAATATTCGAAAAAAAATTTTTTTTTCATTTACAGAAAAATGTTTTTTAATCTCGGGGTATGAAATACGTTTCTCAGCATAGTCCAAAGCCCTAAAAAGGTTGACAAGTTTGACTAAAATAAAGTAATTATGAAACAAAGCATAAGCAAAGCTAAAAAACAAGCAAAACATTGGGAGAAATTATTTTTAAGATGCTTAACAGTCAATAGACATATCCATAATACATAAAATGCTCTAAAAAATAAATTCAAAATGATTAAGTCAAAAGAAAAATAGAATATAAACTAGGAACTCATAGAAGATAAATAAAAACATACTCAACTAAGAATCAAGGAAATGCAAATTAAAACATTGCTTATAAGTTTAATAAAGGTTAAAAAAAATTCTATATATTCTTGCCCAACCTTTAAAGAAACAACAACATTCAATATTGTTTTACTAAAATACAATATTGAGTACACAATATTGAGTTAATCTAACTATTAAAATTTAACTTCCATATCCTGGATCTGGCATTTCCACTTTTAGAAATTTGTATTACTGAAACACTCCCACAAACAAATACTAGGATACAACATAATACAGTAAATACAATATAAGAGTTAAGATTCCTGCTTTGCCACTTCCTTACTGTATTAACTAGGGTAGATTAACATACTTGAATTTTAGTTTTTATTTCTCATTTGTAAAAAGAGATAATGAAACCTACATGTTTTTGGGTTCTCAAGAAGCTGAAAGGAGACAACCCTTGTAAAAATCAATGACACAATAATTCATTTTTCATCATTGTTTTTTACATCATTACAAAATGTTCAGGAATACTATGCAGTTGTTTAAAAAATGAAATATATAGGCACTGACATGAAAAAATATCCAATACATGGCAAGTAAAAACAGCAAAATGTATGTATGCTATTATCCCATGTTTGTTTTTAAAAACAAATAAAACAATGTAAAGAAAACAAAACTAAAACACACAACCCCCTCCCAAAAAAAACCCACAAATATATATTCCAAGTTTCTGACAATAATGCAAAGGGAGAGGGTGGCAGGAGAATTAAAAATCTTTCATTTTCTATGTAATATTTTTCATAATGTTCAAGTTTTACATAATGAAAATGATTAAGAAAAATAATTCAAAAAGCACTTAACTTTATAGTACTCCTAAAGGCAAGATGAAACTGGCTAACAATCCTACTTTAAAGTCTGTTTTATTTTATATTTCACCTAAAAGAAACAGTGGCCAGGCATAGTGGGTCATGCCTGTAATCCTAGCATTCTTGGAGGCCTAGGCAAGTGGATTGCTTGAGCTCAGGAGTTCAAGACCAGCCTGAGCAAGAACGAGACCCTGTCTCTACTAAAAAGAGAAAAACTAGCTGGGCATGGTGGCAGGTTCCTGTAGTCCCAGCTACCCAGAAGGCTAAGGCAAGAGAATTGGTTGAGCCCAGGATTTTGAGGTTGCTATTAGCTGCTCTACCCAGGATGACAAAGTGAGACTCTGTCTCAAAAAAAAAAGAAAGAAAGAAAGAAAGAAACATTAGTATTTTACTTTATCATATCAGTAAATGACACACACGACTGTGACAACAGACTTACATAATTCCAATATACAAATACCATTAGGGAAGACATTCTAATAATGTCACACACGACTGTGACAACAGACTTACATAATTCCAATATACAAATACCATTAGGGAAGACATTCTAATAATTTAAAACATACTTGTATTTTATCAAAACTTCCATAATCTCTAGTCAATATAATTAATTTGCTATAGTTAACACCTAATGACAAAATTTACTCATATTAAAACAATTATAACAATTTTAGACATTTAAACTCCAGATACTCTGAAGTGACTGCATGTAATTTCACTTAATCACTCACACTGAAGAAAAATCTTATTATCTTCAAATGAAAATTTTTTTTTGTTTTATTTATTAAAAGTTCACTTTATTTTTCTGTTGAATCAAACACTAGCTACAAGTTACAGTTAGATTTTTCTGGTGCCTTCCAAATGTCACCATAGTTAACATTGCCTTATCAATCATCAAACAATCCACTAGGTCCCAGTGGTTATGTTCACATCTAGAATGTTCAGGTGATGAGGAATTCTTTTATTGGTTTGCTTTAGCTTTTAGTTCTTGTTTATATCTCCAAATTCGAAAAAGTTGAGAGGTTCCTGCTGCCCCCACAAAGAAATTAACAGCAAACAGACTCAAGTTTTTTGGAATAATTACAAGTGAATATCTTGACCAAATAAACCCTGTAGCCATCAAAACAGCAGACTGAGCTGTGCTGAGTTTTTCTGCAGGTCTGGCCATATCAGCCAATCCAGCACCCACCAATCCCCATTTCATAATTAGAGCACAAAAAACTGTTTTGGGGCCTGCTGGGTGGTTGTACAACGGCCTCAATTTCTCGAGCAGTATCAGCTCCACTTTGTCGAGGAGCCGGTGGTAGGTGGCCCACAGGCCTCAGGCGCTGGCAGCAGACATCTCCGCCACCAAGTGATCATGGGCAGCCGGGTAGAAGGGTGGCTGTGTCCTCGTCCCCGGAATTGCCCAAATGAAAATTTTTAATTATTTATTTTTACAGGTTTAAGTTAAGGATAAAAAGTTATATTTTTATGAAAATATTTAAGTCCTACAAGCAAATATTTAATCTCTCCTGTGACCTTGCCTTACCCATTGGCTAGGTTTATCAAACCAACCAATACAAACATAGGATATCTTAAACAATTGTCAAAAGAAAACCGTGTCCATAAAAGATGGAAAATATATAAATATATTGACTATTTAACCTGAATGTAAGTAATTTTAGTACTGATGCTGAAATGCTGCAACATAAACATAAACAAGAAAAGGTCATATTGTGCCATACTTTACTACTTCCAATCTGTTTCCCTGTGAGTAAAACTCCACGATAATGAGGTGCTTTGAGTCCAAACATCCACACTGTATCATATGATACTAATTCCATTCCACAGTCAACCTTATATTAATAATTGTTGCTATTGCTTTACTTTGCTCCTATGTACAAAACCCTGTTAGGCAGGTACGGAGATTATCTCTAAACCTCCCCTTGAAAGATGGTAATTATCAGTACTATTTCATAAATAACGGTGACAGCTCACAGAGGTTACAAAACTATCCTAAAACTTCACCTCCAACAAGTGAGGAAACTAGAATTTGAACCCATGGCCAAGCCCATGTTCCTTCCTGAATACTAAATCATATTGCCAATCTCTGTTTATAAAGAAAGGCCAAATGCACTAGTTTACAAATAAACAATTTAAAACATCTCCTTTCTACAAATACTCAAAATGTACACCTGGTAGTACATTACTTCTGAAATAACCATTATTAAAATAATCAGAAGTTTCTTTTTATGTTTTTTAATATATATAGTATAGATTTGACATAAAACTGCAATACGGGATAAAATTTGTTTCTGCTATAAACAACAAAAAAGAAACAAACCTGTGTGGTCTTTCCAGATCCAGTTTCTCCTACAATCAAAACTACTTTATTTTCCTTTATTATTTTAACAATTTCTTCTTGTTTCTCAAACACTGGTAAAGACTGCCTAAATGAATCAAATTCAGATTCTCCTCTTTTCACTGGAATCTGAGGTATGCCATTGTTGAGTCTCCCACTTGTCTTGCTCATTTCCCGGTTCTCTTTGAAAATGAATAAAGAACAAAAAATTCATGATCAACACTGAAAAAGAGTTAAAAATAAAATGAAGTGATTTCTAATGTAATTCCTTTCAGCACTCAGTCTATTTAAAATTAGCAAGCAATACCTCAACTGTTAGACTCCTACACTTGCTATTCTTATGGAACGTATTTCATATTTTAGTGCTAATTAGAAAGCAAACCTCTCAGGTGTATTTCTGGTACATAATTTTTAACAATCAATAAAAATTAATCACTCGATATCTATTAAAAGCAAAACAATTTTGATAATCAAAATGACTTTCAGGCTTGCTCTAAGTTTCTATCAGTAATGTTGCAGAAAATTAAAAGTTCATAGTAGGAAACAACATCCATTTTACTTCTATGTATGATGTTACATATAATACAAAAAAATTACAACAAAAGAAAATACTCCATATGTGTTTAAATGATACATGTAAAATTAAGTGATCAAATAGAACATGTGTAAATTTAAGGTCCTAATGCTTAATAAATTTCCTAATTGAGCTTTTTAGCCAACATTCATATTTAACTAAACAGGCAGAAATAAAGAATAGACATGATCTTCATGTAGTTCAAAATATTGTATGCTTATATTTAAAGTTTAAGTTCTTTGATAGGACCATTTATTTTCTACATTTCTTATTTTCTACATTTCCAACCAAGTCCAATAAACAATTATAATTATGCAAATTCCATCATTATAGACCATGAAATTTTATCACTAGAGATGCAATTTTCTCATATAGTAAAATTACAACCTCGTTTTGTAACCTAAATATATTTTTTATCTGCCTTTGAGCAATTCAATATACTGAAGATTCTATCCCATCTTTTACCATAAGGTAAAGGCCCAATTCAAAATCTCACTCCTTAGTGTGCCGTGGCAGGGTAATGTAGCAAAGTTCAGACCTTGGAAGTCAAATCCCAGCTCTGTAGTTTACTGGCTGGTTGAGTGGCTTTGAACAAATTATTTAACTCTGAGCCTCAGTTTCTTCACCTGTGAAATAGGGGAAATTCTTACCTTGCAAAGGTTGCCATGAGGCCCTATAAAGGGTTTAGCATACTGAGCACATACTGAGCACAATAAGTGCTCAATAAATGGTAGCTATTATTACATTTAAAAAAAAAAAAAGACTTGGTTCAAATCCATAACATGCCCTAACACTCCATTTTGTTCCAAAATTTTCACAACTCTTTAACTGTTTCTAACAAACTGTTCAAATTAAGAAATCTTATTTCATCTTAGTTTTTAAAAATAAATATAAAATAGAAAAAGAACAATCATCAAATAATAAGGTAGACAAGGAAGCTCCCCAGAAAATACATACCAGCTTCAACTGCAAACACATTTCCTCTTTCTGTCTTAGGCAGAAGTTCTGTACGCTCTTTATTGGTGACAGGAAATCTTTGAATTAGGCTCCTAACAGCATGTTTTGTATTATGAGTCAAATTACAGGTCATCATTGCATGAGCTGTTTCTGATCCATCTTTCTTCTTCACAGTTAGGTATCTATTTGCTCCCTTTCTGAATATTAATAAAAATCATTTATTTACTATATATAGTCATCTTGTTCACACATGATGTATGCCTACTTAGAAAATACATCTCAAATGAAACACTGAAAAAAATTAAAATGCTTTGGGATAAGATGCTGAAAGTCAAAAAAACTTCACTGAAGAGAGGTTTGAGCTAAAGTGGCCATGGGAGTATTTTCAATTAAAATTTCAAAGTGCGGTAAATCTAATTTTAATCAGCAAAAAAAGCTTACTAACCCATAACTGTTAAAGTTTGTCTTTAGCAAAATTCATGGTAGATGAAACATCACCAGCTAACTGAAGCACACAGTGGGAAAAAAGTAATAATCTGAACAACAGAACCTAAAAATGATAATAAAAAGTTATGGTTCATTGTTCAGACAAATACCCACTGAATGTTTGCACAGTATGTTGGTAATGTCATACTTCCATGAAAATCTGTTAAGAGAGCCAAGTTTAGTGGCTAGACCAAAAAAGCATAAACTAAATTACTGACAACTATTTTCAGATGCCTTTTTTTTAAATCAAAGAAATTGTCAAAGCTTCTGGTTCTACCCTTCGATTATAAGGTAAAAATGATTTATAACTGTTCTAGTTATTTGCTGTAAGTATATTTGTTTCTACAACTGGTCCAGGACTGATTATGTAGTTTATGACTTTGTAGCTCCAAGGGAACTAGATATAATGTTAGACACAAAGGAAGTCCCAAATGTGTTTTGAATGATTTGATAATGCACACCTATAATCCAGCAATGGAGTTAGTACTGGTTAAAAGCTCAGGCTCCAGAAGCACACAGACCTGGGGCTGAATCCTACTTCTACCATCTACTAGCATAGCTGTGAAACCACAGACAGTTATTTAACGGTTCTGAGCCTAAGATAATAATACCTACCTCAAAAAATTATTCATATAAGATAATACATGTAAAGTTCAATATCTATCACAGAGTAGACTCTAAATACGTGAAAACTATTATTGTAATTATAGGCAAAAAAATCACTTCTTAAATTTAAAAGTTACCAAAATATTCTATAAAATGCTTTATCATTTGTTAATAGCACCATCATACTACAGAAATGAGCAACACAGCCACAAATACAACAAAAATTACATGTATAATTTTGTGATTTTCCTATTTTTCATTAGATATAAATTTTGTCAACAACAAAACCTTCACCATAAGAATGATGTTCATCTTACAAGGGTACAAGTGAATCTTTCTATGAGTAGAATATGAATGTTTTGACATAATAACTAAGAAAGTTACATGAAGGCTATGTTAACCAGTTTGATGGAAGTGTCTTAGATTGTGTGTGAAAACACCACACTGTACCCCCAAAGTGCATCAATGTACACAGTTACCATTCAATAATAAAAATAAAAAATAAAAAGAATGATGTTAAACTGGGATTAACCTACACAGTTTTAACAGTTAAGTCTTCTAAAGTGAGGCTTTTAATTTATCAAGATTTTTAATTTCTGGAAACTCCTTATTGAATTATATGCTTTCTATGCTACCATCTACTCCTTAACAAGTGCTTAGTGATGCTCAACATGATGCCATAAAAATGAAATAGTTAAAATTTAACCTGATCCAGAAAAGTATTGGATTCTAAAGAAGTTCTCAGTAGTAGGTCTTTTCCCACGGACCTTACTTGATCTTTTAGTCCCCTTCTTTAATGTTCACTTCATAAAATCTTAACCACAAAAAGCATAAAATATGCTGAAATGAGAGTTAGAGCCAAAGTCAAAAAGCTAATGTGGGCTAGTACTAACCTTTCAACTAACTAAATAAATCATTTTCCTTTCTAACACTGGTTAATTTAAAATTAAGACTCCAGTATTTTTAAGAGCTCCAAAATGCTTTAATTTTCTTAAGTCATCTCAGAAACGTTTTGCTATATTTCACTTTTCACTAATTTTCTTGGATTCATTCATTCAATCATCATATGTAAATTGAGCACCTACTATATGCACTAAGGTAGGAACTGGAATTAGAGAGTTAAATAAAATATACTCTCTTTCCTTTACAAGCTCACAACTAAAATATGAGGAAAGACTGAAACTTCCCTAAAAGGGATTGCCCAATACAGTATTTATGTATAAAAATAATTCACAATAAGCAAGTGTGAGAATTTAGCCCTACAATTTAAAATTAAATGAATCCAATTTGAACACAGATGGTAAGGCAGAAAGATAACATCAATTTGATAGCATATATGTTTTAGTAAGATTCTATGTGGCTCTTACTGCTCATTCCTACCACATTCAGCACCACAGTGACACTGCTATTATAAAAGAATTAAGAAAACTTTTGGTAAAATATTTACTTCATATTGTGAGGAATGAAACATTCAGAAGAGATGTGTCCTACCATAAACTAACACACTAAGATCTCAGCATGCTTTCGTTCCAATGTAACTGAAACTATGCTTTGATGGAAAACATATAAACCCCCTTTACGAAGCAAAATTAGAAACCAGCTGCATGCATAGAAAAGATATTAGATAAATTAAATTCACAAGAATTTTTTAAATAATAAATTCAAACTCCAAGCGCAATTTTTAAGTACAAAAGTAAATGTAGTAAAATTATAGATAAGAACATCATAACCTCTGACTTTCACAGGGCAAAAGCAAGTAAGTTTTGGCATTTCCATGGCTTCTTCCTTTTAAAGAAAAATGATAATATATATAATCAAATGTAATGAAACTCTAATGTTAACCAATTTACAAAGCATGTTCTGAATATTTAGCTCAAATATAACCATTTGCCTCAGTATTCCCTATACTCCAAGTCTGGAGAGTAAACTTAAAAAACTTGCAGATACCAAGGAGATAAATGTCTCAAAAAAATAAATAAAATAACAGGCATCCACTTGATGCCTACTAAATACTCAATTCTATACCACTTTAATTTATAGCAGCAGCAGACGGATGCAAAAATCTATCTCTGAACCATTTTCTCCCCAATACTGTAATACAGAATTACAAATTTATTAAAGTTTGCATCATACTAATTTGTACTTTTCTTATGATTACCTAACAACTAATTAACCAACCAGTTAACTTTATGTTGTCACTAAACTGAACACAGTTCTTTCATGTCATAGTCATTATAAGAAAGTTAGAGATGAAACCTATCTAATATTTCTGATCTAACTCCTCACAGCACATAATACATTGCTATCAACTCATTGTGAAGATCAAAAATTAATTAGCTAAACAACCATATTCAAACTCCAGATGTGACACTTGCTGTGTGATTTTGGGAAAATTTACATACTATCTCTAGGATTAAGCCTCAACATTATATTAAGTACCAAATATTAATAACAGAATCTACCTTATCAAACTGTTGATAGTTTTAAATAAGCTGTATAAAGCACCTAGCACAATGCCTGTTGTACAACAGCACTTAATAAACATTAGCTCCTGCCTCTAGACAGAACACAGCTCTGCTGACACCTTGATTTTAGCCCATGGGAGCTGTATTGAACTTCTGACCTCCCAAACCGTTTTAAGGTAATAAACTTACATTGTTTTGGCCACTAAAAAAAAAAAAGGTTAGCTCCTTTATTGGGCACTGCAGGGTTTATTTATTTATATTTGCAGTTTATTCTGCATTCCATTAACTTATTCTTTTATTTTCTCTTAATTTTTTTATTAAATCATAATGCATTTATGGGGTACAATGTGCTAATTTTATATACAATTTGGAATGCTTACATCAAACTAGTTAACATAGCCTTTACCTCACTTCCTTAATTATTGTGTTAAGACGTTTATACTCTACTCTTAATAGATTTGACACGTACCCCTGCAATATGTAACATAGGTGAGATCCCACTGATTACCCTCCCTCCCCCTGACCTCCCTCCTCCCCTCGCCTTCCTCTTCCCTCCTTCATCCTGGGCTATAGTTATGTTTTATCATTTCTTTAAAGCCATTTTTCCTAATTTAGCTAGGGAAAGAAAAGGAGAATGCAGTATGCAAATTCCCAAGGCAAGAGAGGCTGTAACCCAAATCTGAAAGGGAAGCTTCCTTATAAGCTGGAACCTTCTGGTCAGGGTGGGTAGAGTACTTCACCGACTAAGCACTGACTTAGCAGTCAAAGAATAAGAAGTTGTACTTGGAAAAATCTACTTTCATACACTTTTGTACTTCCTTATTGCAAAAATTTTTGACGAAGTTCATTTTGTAAATTCTATTTTATCTACCTTTGACTAAGAAAAATAGAAAAGAGATTTTGTTTTGTTATGAACGAGACAAAGACTAAGAAAGTATGCTCTTAGGACCAAAACAGTGATCTCAATTGAGAGAAAAAAGTAAACAAATTATCAGGTGAAATTTTTGTTATGTGAAACCTGACTAGAATTTCAAAGAAAGAAGGATCTTACTCTAAGAAGAACATTTTACTAAATGATGAATAATTATTATAAAAAATTAAAACCAAAGTAAATTCAACTTTTTAGGAGAATATGAGAAATAAAGCCCATCACAAATGGCTTCATTTTGAAAGAAATGATATCAAAAAGGAAAAAATCAGAAAAATATAATTAGCCAGAAAATCTCAAATCTATTTTTAAAACCCTTACAGGCTTGGCGCCTGTGGCTCAAGCAGCTAAGGCACCAGCCACATACACCTAAGGTGGCAGGTTCGAATCCCCAGCCCGGGCCCGCCAAACAACAATGATGGCTGCAACC